TCCCCATCACCCGCAGCGCCTGTCGGCTACAATTCCCCACCTCCACCATCATCTGCACAACCCCCTTCTCCAGTGCACCATCACTCTCCGCCCCCACCACCACCTCAGAAACCATACGAACAACCTCCTCCTCCTCCACCCACAAATATCTTTGAGAGCCCACCACCTCCAACCCCAGTATTCGAAGGGCCTTTGCCTCCCGTTGCTGGGGTTTCATATGCTTCACCTCCACCTCCTCCCTTCTATTGATTCATTACAGAGTTTTCCTCTAACCAGTCCTCGAGAAACAAAATCTGTACCTACAGTTAAACTAGATGTCATTGCTTTAAGTATTTTTAATGTTTCATGTCGTGAATATACTTCTGCCCATTCATTTCCCTCATATGCTGATCCTCTTATATGGATAAACCACGGTTCTGAAACAAAGATCAAAGTAGAGATTGACCATGTGTGCGGGTAATGTGTTATATGTATTTCGATATTGCTGTATCTGGTTGGAATGCTCGCACAAGAAGGTATCAATGAAAAATAGGGGAGGTAATAGGATGGTGCTCATCTGAAAGATATTATTGCCGCGGAGAAATAAATTTGCTGAGAATATAATAGGTATTCTGGGAAGTGTCTGTATAGATGCCATCATAATGTGGGCCGGAAACCCAGTCCTGCGGGTACTCGCTGCTGCTGCTTGTTCTGGTTTGTGGATTTCATTGTTATTATTTTCTTTCCTTTTCTTATCATCGTGCTTTTGGTTATTGATTTTGTTCTGCAAATTTATAGTATAACTATGAACTCTTTACATGTATTTTTTCCCCTTGGAATTCAGATTATTCTTTTCTTTTTCTCATGCCAGATTGTGTTTAGTGTTTATTACGCTGCCATTCTTTCTTCTTCTCTTTGAAATAAGTTGCACTACTTGCCGGTAGTTATCATCATTTGCAGCACGGGCTGAGCATGAGGCGGAGGAATAAGGACATCCCCAATAGGGAGAGTCTTAAGACTCTCTTCTATAAACTTTACAATTGGGGTGCATAAAAAATGAGAAAAGTCTGGAAGGGAGTTTGAATTCCAAGACTTATCCTCAAAGACTCTCATTGCCTCACTGGCCCGTGTGCGCTGCCAGCCCCTGTGTGTATGAATATGATGTTTGTCAAATTGCATTTGATTCTGTCATCCATCGTCTCTAGGAATTTCTCTTTATCAATGTTTAGCCTGGGATTACACGTGCGTTGTCTTATCATCCATTATCAATTTCGTCTTTCGTGATACTCTTGGCTGACATTGGGTGGGTGTTTATTATGTGTTGTGTTTCTTAACTTATTGCTGATAAGTAGTTAACTTATTTATAATCTAAATATTTTTTTGTGAAAGTAGATTGAGTAACTTAAATGATAAGTCATTTGAGAATGTTCATTAATGATAAGAGAATGTTGTAAATAATCTTATTAAAATAAAGGATTGAAAAGACTAGTTTAAAAATAACTAGTTAAGATTTTATTTTTTCTAGCTTATAAGAAACTTTTAAGTCAATTTATAGATATAGAAAAGCATGTCATTAGCTAATTTATAAATTTAAAACATGATTATAAATAATTTTGACTAACTTATAAACAAGGAGAATACTCACCGAATTTCCAAATCTATCTCTCTTAACAAAAGTAAAAGGAAAATTTTCCCTCCAATTTTTTTGGGCCAAATCAGGAAACATGATAAGGTTATTTTTAGGGAACTCATGTTTTGGGCATGTTCGAGTTAAGGAAATAATAAGATGATTGTACTCTAAAATTTTTTGTTAGATTATTTTGTTTTAAACCTTCTCTAACTGCCATGAAAATTAACATTAATTGTAAAAATGCAATTTTGAATCTTATAATAATAATAATAATTTTTTCAACAAATTTTTATATTAATTTCAATAAATATCTTTTTATTACGATGATATTTTAGGTGAGAAAAATTTGTGTAGAATAATTGGGCTAGGTAGTTTTTTTGGAATGAATAAAAACTATTTCGAGTAGCAGTTATACGATTAATATATTTAGTACCGGAGTATTTTTCTTCTAACTACTAATGGTGACCGAATTAGTTAAAAAAAAAAAAATACTGCACATACGCACAAATGCACGATCACACACGGCCTCTCTTTTTTGAGGTAATGAATGTAATGAATAATAAACGAATAATTTTAATGAAAGTAGTGGGATAACTAACAAATTTAATACGGCGTACCAATTAAAATAAGTTGTGGTAAATAAAACAAGCCACAATCTCACGACCACACAGTCATTCAAACATATGAAGATTTATCAAATAGTATAGATGCTACTCATCACAACAGCTTTTACGACTACACCAACCACAATATTTGAAATAACACTATTTATGATCACAAGATCTAAACCTAAATATCTTATTGGGCACTGTGAATGCGTCTTGTGCGAGCTTAGAGAGTGCTACAAGATGAACAAGAAAACACATTAGAGATTAGTTTTCATGATGAAATTAAAAGGGATTAACTTTCTATTTAAAAATTTAGCTTCAATAGTTTAGAATCATTAGTAACTATGCAATGACTTTTGAACATGAAGCCATGATATTACAGAACTTATATGTATATGTATGTATGTATGTACACACACTACATCATACCAAATAATATGAAAGTTAGCGACTTATCGTAGTAGTACTCCCTTCGTTCTTGAAAATACTTCCGCCCTAATTTTTTGTGCACCCCATAAAATATTTGTACTTTATTGAAAATGTCTAAAATACTTCCAAAACAACTTCTACCTGCAATAAACTACCTAATGGGATTTATTTTAGACATTTTAGGTAGAAGTAAAAGTATTTTATGGGAAGCACAAAAAATTAGGGAGAAAGTGTTCTGAAGAACAGATGTAGTACAAATTATGACTTGTTTTTACGAATATGTTTCATGGCGTTTATCATTGCATAAAATTCTCGCCATGCATCGCACGGGTTAGAATCTAGTGGGAGTCAGCCGCTAATGGGATTTACATTCATGAATAGTACTTGGCCTGACTTTGAGTCTTCATTGCCCAAACTAGTTTGTACTTCTTCTGTCTTAATTTAAATTATTCATTTCAGTTTATGATATTTAAAAGAAATTGTTTTAAATTAGTTTCATACAAAATTGATGGGAAATTTATAAACAAAATTTATATATATTTAAAAAATATATCTAAAGTTTTATAAAACAAAAGGTGACTTAATTTTATTATTTCCTCCGTCTTGAAATAGATTACAAATTTTTTTCTCTCTTCTTAATAATTTTTGTTTATTTGTGTATTTTTTGTTTAGTATTTGATAAAATAAAAACAATCTTATCACCTCTTGTTTGATAGTTTTATATTTTGAGATGAATTTAATAAATTTAGATTACTAAAATCGTAGTCTATTAAATTGAATAATGTCTAAAAGTCTAAATTTTAGGATAAGTGATACCCGGAGTAACAAATAATTCAATAAAAACTCAATTCCAATACTCTATGGTCCCGTTTGGTACATGGAATTCAAACTATGGAATTGAAATTAGGGGCTTCAATTCCAATTCTGGTGTTTGGTAGCCCAAAAATTATGTGGATTTGGAATTGATAGTGCAAAAAATGAATTGAAATTGGCAGAATTCAATCCTATGGAATTGAATCCTATGAAATTTCAATTCCAATTCAATTCCAATTCTGCCAATTCCGTATACCAAACGGGCCCTATAGGAAATTGCATTGCAACATCCCCACATGCTAATTGGGAGAATAAGTTGCCTCCTCCAGTTGAAATGTGGATGGATGAGAGACAGAAACATGCGAACAGGTTCTTGGGTGACATAGAGGGATAACAAAATGCCTGTCAAACAACTTTTCTTTAGCCTAATTAGTGATACAATTCCTTGGTACATTCTCTTAGTTGGGAATATCAATGTTTAATCCCATACAAATTTAGTAAATACTAAATATATACATCAGAATTAAATGATCATATAACTTTTTATTTTTAATGATCGAAATTCAAGTCCATGCTCATCTCACATTACAAAATATTTCATCCATCCTAATTTAAGTTCATGCTTAATATTCACAGGATAAAACTTTAACAACTTTCAATACTCATTTTTGAAGCTCATTTGATAAAATAATATAATCATGCCACCTTTTATTTTATAGAACTTTAGATGTAATTTTTTAACATGTATAAATTCAATTTTTAAATCCATACCAAATTTTATATAAAATAAATTAAAAATAATTTCAAACCAGAAAATTAAATCATGCCACATTAGTGTACTCTCTAATAGAGTATTTAATTTTTCAGTAATCCCACTTCATCACAATGGCCTTTTTCACCCGTGGCCATGATGAATTTCCTTCTGGTTTCAATGGATGAAACTGCATCATTAATCTATCGCCAAGGAATTAAGAGTGAAAAGTAGAAATTACTGATTCGTAATCTTACTTACTACTAAAGCAGTAAAAGTGCAATTTAATGAGAACACATTTACAATGTCAAAAAACAGATGAAGCAAACCTGTGTTGCAAGCATGATTTCCAAGTTTGGAAGGTATTCAGCAGTGCACCTATGGAAAAAATAGAAATGTGAAAATAAAATAAGGAAAATATCTTGAAGAAAGAATCGGCAAATAGTCCCGTGCAAAGGAAGAGAAGCCATTCAAATCATCACATCATATGTGATTTCATAATTTGAAATCATATATGAATTCGGAGTTCATTTAACTATCTTATGGTAAATTTTAGGCATATATATAGATTGTAACTACAACATGCAACCAATCCTGTCAATAAGGTATCAAACAAATCAGAAAAATATAAAGAGCATATACAATTCGATTGACCTCATAACATGTCCTTACATCCGGGCATTGAGATGTGTGGTCAGAGATTGATTAACCAATTTGTTCCAGATGCGGGTTTTCTTCATCGAGGCAAAGAAATACGGAGTAGTTAAAAACTACCACAAGGTAGTAGTGTTCTGTGAGTACTTTTCTTCATAGAGAAGTGTACGGCCCAACACCACGATGTGCAAGATCTATGTATATAATAGTTAATTAATATGTTAATGTTCTAAATCAAATGTTTCATAATAGAGATTTAGCACTTCCCTCTGGTCTCAGTCCACATATTCAATACCCAATTCTCATTGAAAAAAACATGTGCCTTCACCAGATCTGCTCAATTCAGAACTGAAATTAGATATTGAAAGATCTACAAATTGGTAAATAAAATAATAAAAAAACTAAAATATAGCAAGACCTCTTTATTCAGCTTGAGAAATAAGATAATTTAGAATTTGACCCAAGAGAACCTGAAAGAGGAGATGGCCACCCAAGCGATCGAAACCCTAGGTTCTTACTGAGAAGAAGAGCAAGAAGTTGTGATGATTTGCATGGCTTCTCTTCATTTTTCCTTTTCACGTTTTCGGATCGGAAGTTGCAGACGTGAGTTTCAGATCGGAAGTTGTCATACGAAAAAAATGGCTATCGTGATTTATTCTACGGACGGCCAGATTTTGACACTTGTAGTGAAATTGGATCGTCGGATCGTTCAATCCTGGCTCAAAAATTGGGCCGTTGATTTCTCTAAATCTCATTAAAATTGGACCATTAATTTCCGATTTTGGCGGGTAAATTGGATAGGAGATTTTGATTGTACTTTTATACACTCC